ACCACTTTCCTCCGTGTAACTTGTTGCGGTGTCAGACAATCCTGAAAACATGTACACGGCATGCAACATGAAAGTATGTGCATCAGTTGATCCTCTCATCGAAGCGTCCGCCACGCACGAAACTTCAATTCAGATCCAGGTGACACAAACTCTGCATGTTGCAGCTCTTGCGGCAGGGTTCCCTGCGCATGTAAACGGCTAAGACAGTCCGCAATCCTATTCAAGACGCCAGGCACATGCTGACCAATGATTGGTTCAAGCTGAAAAATTTCCAGCTGCAGGGATATCTCAGCCGCCAACCGAACCATGATTGGTGAAGTTGCTCTGTGCTCCATTGCTGCGCTGAGGACAGCAGTGTTATCCGTACGCAGAATGATTTGAGGTGAGCACTCAGGTAACGTCAGTAATGGCAGAAAGACTTCAATGGAAATCCAAACTGCCAACAACTCCCATTCGCTTTGGAAGGAAGGGTCGCCTAACGTGGCCTGGAACAAGCGGGCATCTGACTCATTCAGAGCTCGATGCCAATAGGCTTTGAACTGGCCACCAACCATGAGGAAACCGCCCATACCAGTTGGACACGCGTCCGTCTGGATCAAGATTCTGGGCGCAAAGGGGCGCCATCTGTAATGACGCTGCATGCCCACACTGTCAAGATGTGTCTCCTTGGTCAGCGTTTCTAGCCAAGATATGGCGTGGTCCACTTGCCGAACGAAAACCAGACCCTTACGCTCCCTTGCATTTGCCTTCCTCGGCAAGGGACGCCGCTGCTGCACTATAACTGCCCAAAGCATGGCTAGATATGGCCTAGCCAACGGCATGACACTGGAAATCCAGCCCAGTATGCCCGTAGCTGTCTCAAGCAATTTGAGCGGCAGCACACCTTTGTAAGAGCGGATTTCAGCGAATAGTTCCATGAGCCTGTGGCGTTTGGCTTGAGTCATGCGCACCACAAGATCTGCATTGGCCTTTCCTGACAAGACCAGCTCAAATCCTATCCACTGCAGGCAAAGCCCGCGGCATGCCTTGTTCCAAGAGATGGTCAAACCCAGCGATAGCCACACAGCTATGTAGATCAAGAACGTGCTCAACCGTTGCCTGGCAGCGCGACCTCTGATGAACATAAGTGGGTCATCAACATAGCAGACCACAGAAGCTTCGTGCTCCTGTACTGCGGCTTGTGAGACTCGCATGGCTGCTGACGCGAGGCGAGCCCATAATAATGGACCTGGCGCCAAACCAAAGAGAACCACTTTGCTCACGTGATACTTGCCATGCATATCCTTGCAAATTACGTAGCAACGATCCTCCTTCCTCAAGGGCAACGTGTGGAATGCGTCCCGAAAGTCCGCTGAGAACATTTCCAGCTCATCGTCAGACTGCATGTCCATACCTTGCCGGACTCTGTTCAACGCCGCCACGGCGTCTGTGATCTTGGGAAGGAGAACCCGCTCACGGACTTTGCATAAACCATTAACGCCACTTCGGCGAGAGTCGATGACAAGACGGTATTTGACTTCGCCTGACTCCTTCTGTTTGACCACACATGCTAAGCGTGTGAGTTTTGCATTGTCTCCCACTGCTTCACAAACCTCACGCCATGTGTTGAAAACATCGGATCGGCCTTCATCATGGAGTTTGTCCAAGAGCTTTTGAGCATGCTGTCCGGCTTCTTCGAAGCTCTTATAGTTCACTGCAGAACCGTGAGCATCGTCCGTCAGATACCCTTCTAACCGACTTGCCTCGACTGACGCCGAGTCTGTTTCGGTAGATGGAAAGACGCCAGTGTGCGCGATCTCACACGATATCCCAAGCGGGAAGCCATTCTGCAACCACTCCGACAAGACCTGAGCATCAGGATCCTTCGCCGATTCCAGTACTGATTTCCATAAAGGGGCCTGCAATCCGTCTGCTGTCCAGCTTGTATGAAACTCAGCAGCCAGTTGAGCTCGGATGGATGTTATCCATTCATCCGTCACTCCCCCCTGGATGTCCTTCTCCAAGCAGTCGAGTTGAACATCACAACTCACCTTGTCGATGGCTGCGCGGATACGTTTGCCCACAGCCCGTAACGCAGGGGATCTCATGACTGCAAACCTCGGGTTCCGCAATCCACCCCAGGCATCGCGGTTTTCGGCATCACGCTTTTCACGCACTGAGCGTTCTACGCCAGGTTGACATGCGATGACTTGAGAACCTGCTGGAGTGTCCGCCCCCATCCTGATGAGCACATTCTTCCAATGTCCCACCTTAATGAAGGTCCTTTCTCGAATCCAATTCCAACCAGCAGGCTCTTGCAGCCATTCACTCAAGTTTCGGGACCATGCTACGCAAAGCCCACATGGATACTCTGCTTCCAAACTCGTTCTCCATACCAGCTGTCCTGTAGTATAGTCCCATATCTTTCCCATCAGACCACTCTTAGCATGGATATGTCCACGAACTTCGGCGCACAGCGCGCAAACCCTCTTCATCCAGGCTGCAGTCGTCAAAACACAAGTGGGCTGCATAGTGGAAGCTCCATAAGCACACTGGTGAAGCAACACCAGTTCCGACTCTGCCAGTTTTAGCAGCTTTTGCATCTTGGGAAGCAGCCATATGAAAGAGTCTGCAGGATTTTCCACAGCAAAGGTGCTCCCACGACGATGGAGGTACAAACACAACGACACTACCCTTTCGACAATATCGTTGGTTTTCATGACCTCCGGATGACCCCAGCCTTCTGGATATGTGTCAGTGCGTAATGCCTGCATTGTACCGGGTTCATCTGAGCTTCTAGCCCTCATCAGTGTGCAACACGCAGGGGCAAAATGCCCATGATCCACTTCTCCACAAAGGTTCTGTGCCCGCTTGAAGTCATCCTCTTTGAGGATGTCCCACTCACCTCCGTAACCGTCCAGCGCAGCTGCCACTGTAACCAGCTGCTCTGCCAGCACATCCAAGGCGCTTGAGAACCCCCCCCAACCGGCAAAGAATTCGGCAAAAAGAAACTTGCGAGGCAAAACGTTAACTTTAGAGCCTGCATTTAATTCACAAGGTTTCGAGCCCAGGTCCTTGCCTTCCACCGCTCCCGATTCGCGCATCACCAGGACCGGATCTTCCACCTCTCCCGATTCGCTCAGGTCTTCTGGCACTGCACGTTTGGATGCATACCCAAGCAGTACTGACAACAATGCACTCGGCCATCTGGACATGGATCGCTGCAAGCACCAGGCTGACCCTTCGCAAACTTGTAGCAAATTTGACAGCCTTCCCGGTCCGTGACGAAGAAGTTGCCGTACTTTCTTGGGTGCGCTTTCCCTTTACCTCCAGCTTTGCCATCATGATCCCCGCCACTCGTGTAGTCCTGACGAAGACGAATGAGTTCTTCGCGCTGCTCCTTTTCCCGTTTCCGTCGCTTGGCAGCCTTCGAGGTTCCTTGACCCGGAGGCGCTGGTGGTGGAGGAGGATGTGTGATTCCCTTGGCGGCGTCCAGAGCACTCCTCGCCGCCTTGTTCACATTTGCCTCATCAGCTTCGTGACGCGGCATCCGCTTGCCTACGCCCCCACGGATAAGGAAATTTTGAGCAGGCCTTATCACCTCTGCAGTCCAATAATCGGTGTCTTTGGCCATGTAAGAAAACACACCCACCCAAGGCTGGTCCTCATCAAAGTTGAGGCCCATCGGGAGTCGGCCTTCCAGCCTGGCCCTCATCAATTTCCGTCTTGTCCTCTCTAGGTGCTCTCCTCTGCAGCGATCTTCTGCTTGCATTATTAAATGCCAACACTCTGGAAAATCGGACGTCAACCGTTGGATGTTCTCATAGTATTCCTCAAGTGCCGCTGGAGTCATGACCACTTTCCTGACGCCAGCGGCGCTCGCCTCGTGCTTGAACATGAGCAAGGTCACACGATAAATTTTCCAACAGGCCGACCACGCTTGAAAGCTCGGCGGACCAGGCATTTCAACCTGCTTCCAAGAGCCATCTTCTTGCAAAAAATAACCTTTGGCTTTCAGCTGTTTTTGCATACGTCGTCCGAACGGAGTCAGCACCGAGAAATCAGCGTAAGGAGCATCGCCCCTTGCGATGACTTTGTTGTACATGACTGTGATCTGCTCCGGTGTCGGCTCTGCATCCAGCGGTGGGTCTGCACCAACCACTGTCCTGAAGTTTCTGTAAGCTTCTTCAAGCAAAGCCTTGTCCACCAGTTCTAACTCTGCATCATCGAGCTGATCCGCAATTTGCGACACTTTGACTTTCTTCTGACCTGCAGGCACAGCCACTGCAGCTGAAACTGGCGCATATGTCGCTATTGGCGTCGGGCTCAGCAAATCCATATCAGGAAGATTAAAGGCCTGTCTGCAAACTCTCCACATGAGCGCCACCTGGATTGTCTCCACTGCAGTAGGTTCACGAGTTGGATCACCCGGAAGAGGTCTTCCCGTGGCATCACGCATGACAATCCGCAGACTGCCCAATGTAGTCTTTAGAGTATCAGCAGGGGTCAAAGCAAACACTCGAATGGAAGGAATGTTGCCAAAACTAGCGCTGGTCTCTCTCCATATTTGTTCAGACAACCCTACCCAGGCACGGATTGCATCCAAGGTATCCAGAGTTGCCAGTTCAGCAGTAGTAGGCAACAAGCTGAGCGCCATTTCTCAATGCAGCATTGCCTTCTCGTACCCGGGCACGATCAGGCCTTTGCAAAGATTCCTGGCCTCTGCCTTTCGCCAAAATGGCCGACGGATATCCTGCGTGTTGCATGTCCCCTAGTTTACAGCATCACGATGTGATTTTGCGTTGTGTGTTGTGTGTTGTGTGTGTGTGTTGTGTGTGTGTGTGTGAGTGTGTGTGTTGTGTGTGTGTTGTGTGTGTGTGTTGTGTGTGTGTTGTGTGTGTGTTGTGTGTGTGTGTTGTGTGTGTGTTGTGTGTGTGTGTGTTGTGTGTGTGTGTGTGTGTTGTGTGTGTGTTGTGTGTGTGTGTGTTGTGTGTGTGTTGTGTGTGTTGTGTGTGTGTTGTGTGTGTGTGTGTGTGTGTTGTGTGTGTGTGTGTGTGTGTTGT